TTTCTAGTTTCACTTCTACGCACAATAACATTAAATATAAACATGCTGTAGTACTTATTATTCAAAATGATTATACCATTCCGTATCCCTTATGGTTTAGGTTACGCGTGAAAAAGCGCGTACCTAAATTCTTATCCAATTCTAGGCCTAAAGTTCAATATAAAAAAATTATACTAATTAAGAATCACGGCTTACCTCACGTGTAATTCGGTGTAGGTACCGACTAGTTACAAACTAGACTCATTAAGCCTAAGTCGAAAAAAAAATAATTTACCTCTACTAGATAATTACTAGCTGTCGCCCGCGACTTCATCCGCGCGGGATGAAAAATAGATGTTGGCCGATTCGCAGATCTACTCAATATGCTCACAAAATTTCATGAGAATCGTTCAAGCCGTTTCGGAGGAGTATGGGAACGAAAATTGTGACACGAAAATTTTATATATAAGATATTAATATATATCAATGTTACTCTTGAAAGTAATTAACAATTATTGAATTTCATAATCGTTGAATTGGTACAAAGTTTCCGTTTTTATCGTACTCAGTAGAGCATGAGACCGATAACAGTTTAGAGGTTGAAAATATTTACCTTTCCAAACGTAAAGTTACGCGAGAACTGAACAAACATTACGTACAGTAAGTTTACAATGCCGAAACACTCAAACGAAATATACATCTCTCTCGTTCTATTTGAGAAAAAAAAACAGAGATAACAATACGTTTTTATACCAGTCTGTTGTCAATAGACATTCACGGTTAGACGGTAACACATTCAAACCGTGGTAAAAGACCTCCTATGCGTCGTCGTAAGACGTATATGTATTAAATACATCTCTCTTAGGATTCTTATTTGACTTTACTTTCCTAACTAATACCGTATTAATAAACTATTCTGAGCTTTTTAATTAAATATGATTGTCAAGTTTTATAGATCGACTAAATGTCGCCGCGCGGAATTAAAAAAAAATTAATTAGTAGCCTATGTGTTTTTTCAGATAATGTTCTGCATCTATGTCAAATTTCAACTAGATCCGTTCAGCCGTTCTAGAGATACCTTCAAACTAACATCCATCCATCGAAACATTCGCATTTATAATATTAGTAAGAAGTAACATATATCTATCATCATAATCCGTATCTAATACTTTCATTGTCTAATAATGTTGTGATTTGCGGGACTTGACGAACAAAAGTACAGTTCAGTTGATTGTCAGTGTCGCATGGACATTTATCATTATGAAATACGGTTCTCGTAATAACACATATCTATACTTCCTAACATAAATATACTTTATGGAAGAACTAATAAACTACCCATATCAAATATGAAAACAACTTTTATGGCAATTGACCAGGTCATATACGTATGTCTACGATGTCATTCCGAACTTGCCGTACAATTCGGGTTATATTGACCACATGTCCAATCAGGCTATAATTTCTAAAAGTGGTTTATCCTATATATTAAAAATAAATCAAATACACATGTAACTTAAGAGTAATTTGTAAGTGGACCGAAAGGAAGAGCTGTATTTTATCTACACTGTTTTAATACATTGCGTACCACGACCGAATAGTTTTTGCGCAATTTCCTAGCCCAACTAGTCTCTAACCTTATTTACAAAATAATACAATTTGAGCTTTAAAAAACATAAAAACTTCTTTTAGTAACATAAGACGATGTAACCTGCATATTACAAGAAATGATGGATCGTTCTTTAATATAGAAAAATAAATTCCAACTTGATACCTTCAAGCGTTTTTGTGACGGACAAAAAGTGATCCTTTAAGGGTTCCGTTTTATTCCTTTCGAGGTACGGAACCGTAAAAATGTGTTGGAATCGTAAATTTAATCTAATAAAGTTTGCGTGAGTAAATTTAATACAGTAAGAACGGTGTTTCTCCTTTAAAAGATATAACGGCGTTACGCCGACGCAATTTATATCGACCGGTAGACTGAATTACTTCTAATCACTTTAGGAGTTATTTGCGATATTCTCGCAAAATAGGAAATATATTTTCATTTTTACAACTGGCAGGTAACAAACAAACTTAGCAATCTAATAAGTGTGTTAATATACCAAAACATTTTATCCAACTTCTAAGCTATAAAATGCTCTGTATTTTTGTCAAATTGAACTAATTTACTGCGTTAACAACATCTTAAGTTAATGTAAATGTAGATTAAAAAATTATAAATTTAAAATAAGGACAATATACGAAAGGACGTAGAGAAACCTGTGTACGTAATAATTCACAAGCGTCGCTGTCGCTGTACGTAGTGGGTAACCTTGGTGCGTGGGCAAAGCATAGGAAAGGCTTTACTCAGCTGTTACACCCACAACATACTTTATCAGTGAATCATATTCACGTAAAAATTTATGTTGAATGAAAATATCTCTATATCTTAAAAAAAAACCCTGGGCCTTATTGTAAAAAATAAATGACAATGTTTAAAATACATTTTAGCTTTTTATACTGTGACTTTAAAGACCGGTGCGGATTTTTGATAAATCATGGCTTTTTTCTTTTTTTTATATCATAAGGTGGCAAATGAGCTACCGGCCACGTGAAATCGCAAAAATAGCGAAGTGACTATTGCCCATAGACATACGCAATTGTATATGCGTTGCCTACCTCTAATCGACGGAGGAGTGGATGCACAGAAAGAAAATATTTTCCCTTTCCATGCATCCTCTCACCCGGAAAGTCCACTTCCACTTCCCATCCTTTCCTTATACGAAAAAGGGTAGGACGGGAAAGAGGACTAAATTAGGTCTCCGGGACGTACACTCATCAGACGACACGCGGAATTGCTTCCACTTGACGCCTGTCTTCTGTGTGGTCGGGGTATTTCACCGGGCGAGGCGGGCCAATTCTTGCGAAGATGTTAAAGCGGGCTCTACCACTGCGAAAAAAATTCTTGACTAATAAATAATTAAATAAAGTAGTAATGTGATATATATATTTATGGTGATATTAATAACCAGTTTGACGTCCATAATATTTTTCACAGACGTTGAAATGGTTTAGAAAACATGTTTTACTAAACAGTATCTAACTATATTTTCTGGAGTAATATACAGCCTATGTTTTTTTTTTCACTTTATTTGGCACAAGTTGGCAATCTTTCTTTCAGATGTAACAATCGACATACAACAAACTCTATCCATTCTTGCTGATGTCATCTCATCACGTAATTCACACATAATTTATCTTCGAACAATTAAATCATTCTTTCTTTTGGATCCACTGATAAAATCATTAAAATATTTAATCAAACACATAATTCTGCGGTGCATTATAATTAATGATGAGTCATCATCAATATTCATTGTTGTTTTGTTTGTGACCGCATCGGCATTGTCTATAAGTCGTGCTCTTCACTAAGACCTTCTTTGAATTTTAATTAATAATTACTCTTTAACTGCCACAGTGTCATTAAATGGCACTAAGGGCTATCCTTAGTGATAGTACGACATAGATTAACCATCATAAATCTGTACTATTCGACTCCGAGCTTTTGTCCATGCCCTAATCCAAACTTTAGTAAAAAATATACTCTGTGTTAATCAGTGATAATGAAACTTTTTAATAGTAAAATAATTTATCAAATCGGTCAAATAGTTCATGCCATTATTCCTGCATACATATATATACAAATATTTCCTCTTTATTATGTTAGTGTAGATTTAAACAACGTTTAAAAGACTATGAGTGCGGCAATAACGTTTCACTATATTAATACTCATATAACAATATGTAAAGATTTGAAAACTTTACTTTCAAATTGTAGATAATAAAGAAATATTCCTAGTTATATTGTGGAAATATCTTCTAACAAACATCCAACAATCCATCTAAACATTCGCATTTATAACATATTATAAGTGATATTTGATGAAACAGTTTCCTATATGAATTTAGGATTTTGAATTATTTAAATTTATTTCTTTACTTTGTATTAGGCTACACAATTTGCGTGGTTGACTATGGCCTAATCACCCTTAACTTAGGGTAGACATCGAGCCCCTCAGTGGGGACGTATAGTGAGCTGATGATGAAGCTACACAACTAGTTAATTAAAAGTATAGAATGACTGTGTGAAAGAGGATATGCCTAAGAAGGGGGTAGAGTCGGATATGACGGCTGATAGAGATGTATGCAGGAGTAGTACTTACTGTGCCGACCCTAGATAGGGACAAGGGCAGGTTGATGATGATGATGATGTATTAGGCTACACAACAATGTTCATACCACGAGTGCAAAATGTATATTACAATCATTGTTGTTTATTTATACTTATTTTTCTAAGTATCACAGTTTCCTCGTTTTCCTTGATAACCACGTGACAAGTTAGTTTTAAAAGCAATTAAACAAAACAATGTGGAAACTACGCCATACAAATATGTGTAGGACATAAAAATGATATTCCTTTGCTTTTTACCTTGAGGAAATAAGTGCGTTTATGTCTTTTGTATGAGACATTTTACACGAAAGAAAACATTATGAAAATTATTTTTTAACATATTAATATAGATAATTAGTTCAAAAGTCTTGATGAAAAATATTCTATTCGTATTCAAATATATCTGTTGGTATTTGGTAGTACTAAGTAATTTTAGTAACCGTACGTAATAGTTAATTAAACACAAGGTTCTATGAACGGTCTAGTTAAGGTTTATTTATTCATTCGCTTAAATATTTCGCAAAAATGAAAACAGAATTATATTTTTTTTATATTGTAAATAGAATAAACATTAACCTTTTATTTTAATAAATACATTAAATTGTAAATTTGTTATCTGTCCCCATGAACTTAACAATATTGTTTTACCCATACAGCTATTAGTTCAATTTTACAAGGTTCCAATATGTAGTTATTACTATAACTTAAAAGGTTGTTATCAATTCATTTGTTTCAAGCAAAACAAACTAAGTAACATTGAAGTTATTTGCACAACACATTACTTAACATTAAAAAAATAACAACAAACCTTTGGCCGTAGAAATCAATCGCCTTCCCCCGAACAAAAAAAAAAGAACACAAAATATGTTAAGAAAAAACACAAATTTATCTATGTCACAATAATCGGTTCAAAAGAGCTACACACATTAGAATTTGGAACACGCGCGCTTGCGCGGAGTGTTCGCGCGGTACTGCCCTACCATTGGCTAGTTGGCGTAGTGAGGGAATTCGCATATTTTGGTCCACTGCTTGGCCAAAGTGGGCTAAATACCAAAGATTCTAAACTCCACTTGAAATATTTTCACTATTTTGAAAAATATTTAAAATAAACACATTATAAAATCTTAATTAATGGCTGGATTATAATTCGGTGTGAATTTGAATTTATTAAAATCTTTTACAACTTTTTAATTACTTTAAGAGTCGATATTAGACTCGAAACGTTCGCGACATGGAAAATAAATACATTTTCGTAATATAAATAATATTTCTATTCAATAAAGATGTATGCTCAAAGGTATAACAAATCACATGTTATCTTTTATAAAATCTCTAGGGATTTTTATATGTTATGCATTGAAAAGTTTGTCAAATGTTTGAAAGTATTCGGCATATTCAGTCCAATTCGCACAGGTAGCAAAAAACAGGTCCCCAGCCGGTATGTAAATTAGAATGGCGTAAGTTAAAAACATTGTTCAGTCTGTCGCAAACGTTTGCCAATGTTGCACTGAACACGCTATAATACAAATGGAGCGTTTGATACTTTGATAAATCGCAATAAATGATTTAAAATAACCTTTATATTATAGGTACTGTACTATTTTTTTTCAGCACACACTATTCATTTTTCATGACACTCGTAACTTAGTACTACTCGTGCACGATAACATGGTACTTAATACATTGTTAAAGTTAAGGTGCATAATTGTTTACAATAGGTTTTGACATGATTTTATAACGAGATTTAGCCACATCTGTAGCTATAAACAAACGACAAAATCAATTATATTTTTTTCCTTGCTTTGAACACAACATGAATTTCCTTCTTTGTACGTTTCTTTTCTCTCGTACATCCTAATATGATTATGGTCAGGGACCTGTGGTGGGGTGTTCTTTATTTCTTTACTCTTATTCTTTATACGGTAAAAAAAGCACATTTAAAAGCAGTTCTCCAGATGTTTTAGAACTAATATTATTTACCTTTGTCCTGATCACAAATGAGGTTATGAGTTGAGTCACCGAATAATAAACACTTGAACTAACATTGTCACAACAATGCTCTGTAACAACAATAACACTTACCAAATCATATCTAGTTCATCTAATTTATGTTTATTTGGATTTAAATATCGACACTAAACTTTTAAAATGTTTATTTACGATGTTAAGCTAAGATAAGGTAAAAAAATTATGTCCGTTGCACTGTTGTAGGTACCTAAACAATTAACTTACTATTCGATTAGATTCATAAATACTTTAAAGCTTTTACTGATTGTGAGTTCAGTGTTGTAATTTGCTAGAGGCAAAGATGGAGTGTGATTTAAAAAAATCTTCATCATCGTCAGCTCACTATCCGTCCCCACTGAAGGTCTCTAAAAATACTGATCGTTAATTCCCTTCGATCTTCAAATTTCCTAGCAATCACATGTCTAGTACTGGGTGATTATTAAATAAGTAATCTACGTAAGATTCCTAATAAATCTTATGACCTCACACGTAATATTATAAATTACTCAAAAAGTATAGCAACGTTTCTCTAGGTTGAACAATAGAAACACAAAAGTGTTCTCACAAGTATTCCCACGAGGGCACAATGAGCCTGTCTCTAGAACGGAAGTGGCAAAGGACGGCCGAGCGTTGGATTCACAATTGTTAAGTACATAAAAGTACATCGAACCTTCATGGCTAAGTGATATTCAATGTTTGGACACCTACATTGGTATGCAAAGATTTTTCTCACATCTTGTTGTTATAGAAAAGACTAACGATTAAAAAGATTTGATGTTTTAAGTCAATCAAAACAATTGTTTATAGACTACTATCGACCATGACTCCGAGGCGAAAAAAAACTTAATTAGTAACTTTCCAGGCTGATGGTCTAACATCTATTTCAAATTCCAACGAGATTCATGCAGCCGTTCCGGAGATACCTTCAAACATCCATCCAAACATTCGCATTTATGATATCAGTAAGATTAGTTAACATAATTTTAACAAATTTAAGAAAAAAAAAGGTAAATTAAATCTACCATACCTCTCTACACTCACTTATCATGGGTTTCTGAACCCAAAATCTCGTTTTAAAACGTGTTGTTAACTCTGTTTTGTCAAAGATGGACATATATCTTTTATACAAAGATTTAGGTCTCAGAAACCAACGTTAAACTTTACAATTGACGTCTAAACTAGTTTTCTAATCTTACTTTACAAGACTTATATGACTATCGAACTCAAATTTGAATAGAAATAGACATACATTGTGTTGCATTACAAATGTTTCGATAGTGGAAACACAAACAAAGATGCAATATCCTCAATGAGTTAGGTTCATCCACCCACATCTCAGTATTAGGTTAAGGTTAGACGTTACATACAATTGATTAGTTGCATTAACACAATACTTACGGAAGATACGAGATGGGCGTACGTAGGCTTCGCTATTTCACAATGGCTTACTGTTAAAACAAAGATAAAGATCTTCAAAGTAATTATAATTTATTAATAATGACTGGTGACTGCTTAGTGAGGTCATAGACAATTAATTCAATAGTTTTATTAAAATCAAACTTCACTGAAGTGCTCGCCTAAAGCGTAATACTCGTATTAATCTCCATTGCACCATTTTCTTGATAGGAAGGGATAGGAAGGGTCGTGAATTTGGTTGAGAATTGGTGGCATAGAATGGCTGTTTTTGTACATGTCTATGGGCAGCGGTCACTTCGCTATTTAAGCGAATCTAAGTTGTCATTTGCTCGTTTGTCTCTTTACTCTATAAAAAGGTCGCGTCATATTTTGCTACATGAGAGAGAAGAAAGATGTAACATGGTGAGAAGGACATACTCGTAGAAAGCTATTTACTTAGGAGACATTTTGCAGTTTTCTTTTATACTGTGGTAGAATTATATTAAATGCACAGAAATACTGGGTCTATATAAAATTATAATATATGCAGGATATCGAATCACGTAGACAGTAATCGATACGTGACAAATATGGTAGCGTTATAGTCTATTCAAAAATGTAGGTCTCACTTCCTTTAGAACTTAACACGTTCAGTGCTACAGCATCGCATTTTGAGTCTACTTCAATACGTTAACAGCAGCATTGAACGTGTTATAATCTTACTAAAGAAATGCGATTGTTTAGATGTATGGGTGGATGTTTGAAGATATCTCCAGAACGGCTGCATGGACCTTGCTGAAATTTGGAACATATATAGAACATAGTCCGGAAGATCGGTCCGCGCAGATGCAGTCGTGGGTGACACCTAAAGAATATAAATACTTTCACGTTGTAAACATTAATTAAAAATATTTCTTCTTACTAATATTATCAATGTTTGGATGGATAGTTGCTTGTTGGAATCAGAACAACGGCTCAACGGAAATTAATGCAATTTGGCATAGAGGTAGAACATAGTCTGGAAGAACACATAGGTTACTTATTAAGTTTTTTCTATATATAATTCCGAATAGGCTAAAACTAGTATATTATATACATAAATAAAACAACAATAACTGCTAATACGAATATATTTAAATACATACATATATACGATGAAGACATGCTTTATATTTCAACGATTTGAGTTTTTAAATTTATAACATTTCTTTTTTTGAACATGCAGTCAAAATATTTACAAACAAATATAGCTATATTATTTTGAATTTTTTACTATACGTAAATGAACTTAAGTACGTATTATTTCTTAGAATGTGGTTCTGAAAAATCGTGTGTACTATTTTGTAATTTTTTTTTTAAATAAATGTTTGTCTTTCCACTGTACTTTAATAATATGTTAACTGCACGTCAAAATATTTCATATTTAACATTATTATATTTATTTAATATACATTAATAAATCTACATATATATAAACATAGAAGCATTCATAAGAGTAATATTGACCAATTACTATAACTTCCTGAATCACATATATTAATATAATATGAATAACTAACAAAATAAAACACTAAAATCACCCAATTCTTTAAAACAGATACAATAAAAGAATCGGTTAGAAGTTACAAACATTAAAAAAAAATAAGAAACGAATTCAAATAAAACTCTTATAAAATATTTCAACTTTAGGTCCACTTATAAATAACAGATGGCGTAAGCAGACCCGCGGTATAACAGCTGTTCAAATTCATCATAACACTCCGTTATCATTCCCTTCTTTAATACTAATTGCTAAGTACAACAATTATGATCTTATTTCTAGGCGATTCGGTTCGGCTTTACTTCTTTAACGTAATAACAACGTTATACAATATAGGAACACTGCGGGGTTAGACAAAATGCATTCGTTTACAGGCGATTCCATTGCAAACTTCAATCTATATCTATAAAAATCAATTGCTGTTCGTTAGTCTCGCTAAAAGTCGAGAACGGTTGAACGGATTTATCCTTTCTTGGTCTTGAAATGTTCGTGGAGGTCTAGGGAAGGTTTTAAGGGTGAGAAAAAATCAAATAATTACCGGGAGAACCCCAATAACAACCTCGAATGGATCTCGGTGAAACTTTGCGTAGATGTGGAACATAGTTTAGAAGAACACATGTGGTAATTATTATGTTTTTTTTAATTACGCGCGGACGGAGCCGCGAGCGACAGTTAATATAGAATTGACATTAACTTTCGAAAAGTCATGTTATAGTCTCGAGTCAATTTCATACATTTTTTAAATTCGATATGGAATCGCTTCGAAGCGAATGCACCTTTTCTAAACCCCCATAATAAAATATTAAGATTTTACCATACCTAGTTATATGTATAACTTTTAAGTTATATTTAAAGTTATGGTAACTCAAGAAAATATATTTTGATGCGTGGTTTTGCGCGTTATCCGCCCTACGTCAACTTGTTCAGCGGTTTATTACCGCGACGAAGTAGTGCCCGGTGAGTCTATTAAACTTTGATATTTCCTACAAGATACATATCTACATTGAATCGTTATTACGTTAAAAAAATTAGAATGGAAATATGACAATCTATTAAAAACAAGGTGTTTAATACATTAACGTGTAGTTCCACTGCCAAAAAACTTGCATTAATAAGATTTTTATTCCCCCACTGATAAAAATGGTAATGCCTTTCGTGCGTGTGTTTACTTTTATGTATGCGTGTTAGAATACATGTAAGTTCCTTTTTTAAATGTTACTGATTTCACAAAAATGTCTCAACAGTGGAAACTCACATCATCAGATTGTCATATTTCTTATAATTTGGTATAACATCACCGAACCGAATTCAGTTGTTTCACAGCCTTATTGAAGTCTTGGTGGTATAATGGATCCCTGTCCTATTTAATATTGTATACATACAAAGTTATATATTTCAAATACATACACATAGTACTTCTATTTTATTGAGATCGTATGCATTTTATAGTAATGGTAATAAATCTTGTAAGTACATAACGTTTACAGACAAATAAATATTCAATAAATAGTATGCTAACACCTTCAGTGCCAACGACTCGTCGTACGAGAGCCCATTGTAGTAGTGAAAATAGTTATGGCATTGGACGTGTTAAGATATATGTACTTCACTGGATTTATATCCTATAGAAAAAGACTGCAACTTGTGCCTTTGTTATGTACCGGGTAGGATTAACATTGGCGCCCTGGGCGACATTTTTGCGGCGCCTTTTTTTGTTGTAGAAATCTTCTGAAGATAGGTTATCTTACAAGACACTGCAAGCGCCACTTTATAATGGCGCCTGCAGTGCGTACTTGTGCCCTACGCCCTTCCCTAACGCTGTTACTGGTTACATATTTAAATAGCTTTTATTGTCAACTGATATAAAACGGGCTTAACGCTCACGTATATTCGTTCGTTATTATGTCGCGGACCATCGCACTGAGAGACGGTCCGCCCCGTTGGGTTCAAAACTAGTCGGTGCCGCCACCGGACAAATATATATATCAAAATGTTTAGCCGTTTTTATATCAGTTTATTAAATGTCTCACGAAAGTTTGAATAATTTAATAGCTTTTATTGTCAATTCATCTCTGGCTTGAATTGTAACGTATCTAAAGATTGTGCATTATAATGATAACTATATTATATACTTTGCCGTACATTTTCTAACAAATAGGACAGAGATGTCGATGATATTAAATTAAAAGAGGCATTTCTAAGCCCGATGTTAACTTGAAAGTTCTTACAATATGTTGTATTAATTTATCACATAAGATGTCATGTACTCTGTATTTCGCTTATGTTATATGTTCGTTTTTTCTTAGCCTCTTCTATGTTTTTTTTTCAGTCTCAGGGAATGTATGTTGGTTAGTCTCTTCGTTACCTTACAAAATATATTCATCGCGTGAAATGGTTAAATATAGTCATAAAAATATTTGAAGGAAATCATTTCTAATCCCTTTACGTAGTGTTTGTCGATAGTTTTAATATATTTTTATTTAAATATACTTATTACTAAGGAAACTATTAGAAGCATTATTTAATACTTATATATCTTAGAATAAAATAATTATTCGATTATATTTTGATAAAACGATTACTCTATATGAAACGAAGATTTTTTTGTTTTTTTTTTAATGTTTTATATTTTTTTTTTGTACAATCGTCGATAAAGGCATTTTTGATTGAGGTTTTATGTTCCTATTCGCATTAAGATCACATCGATTGTGCGTGACTATAACAATGAGACTATAAATTGGTTATATAATTTTCTTTAGTGAAGTTTGTTCGATTTTGTAAAAAAAAAGCCACATTGGAACAGAAAAAAAAATGCTCCGAATACAACTAAATATTTCTACTTTATAATGAATGAAACATAAGCAAGATTTTTTTGTCAGTCTGTATTTTACATGCTTTGGGGACGGACTATTTTTCGCTACAGTAAAAATAATTTTGTCTGCATTAAATGTGAAATAATTGTCTTTTTAAAATTTGTTCCCCCCTAAAAAAAAAATGTTTACACTCATACGTTCTTACTTCGCGCGCTTACTGACAGTTGACATTTACGTATGCTATCTGTGGTTGATGTTTTTGACACGATTTGTCTTGCCATATTCGATATTTGTTTTTTTTTAATATCGAAAACTCACGCGTTGATCGCGATATGGTATTCACCTACATAATATCAGCTAATGAGAACAATAGCTTTGTGGCACTTGTTTCTTTATATAATATAAAAACTGTATTTGATACAGTAAGAAGAGATTAACTCTTTTTAAAGCTATGTAGTTGATATAAATGTATCATTAATATTTCGTTATAATTTTTGTGCATTGAATTTAAAACAGTAGGTTGACGCGTAGAGATATTTACATTTGTTTGTTCCACGTGTCATTTGACTAGATGTTTTACAGTCACTCCTTCAAACTACGCTAAATCACGATGTTCAACATATATACGTTGTCAATAATAATTAAATAATATTAAATAGTTAACCACGTCAATTTATTCGATTATCTTAAATCGATATTATTAATCGATTGGTCTATGAACACAAAAGGATGGTAACACTGACGATATTTATATATTTTAATTCGATTTATGCATAGAAATATTAATCGAGTAAATCGTATTCGAAATAACATTAATTTTTTTCATACATACGAGTTTTTTAAATTATTATTGACACGTAATATATTCCATTTAACTTTAGATGTACAAAACATACGTCCGCATTTGCTTTTAACTACGCGATAAATTCGTTAATTTGAGATTTATTGCCAGTAAACATATCAATCGGCTATTCTCAATATTTATAATACATCTGCTTAGAGAAATTGATATTTCAATATTACTTTATATGAATAGACTTGTCAATAGTGGTGGGAATGCAATAAATACTAGCCATAGACAAGTATATGAACACAGATAATAATTACAAGTTTTTAAATAATTTGGTAGAAAATTGACGTTTTTACATATTTTTTATACATGGAATAGTCGTAAAAAGATCTGTTTTTTAAAGCTATGTACAAGCTTAATGTTGAAATATATCTAGGCTAGTTTTTATTCTCATGAGACAAAAAATATTTAATAACATTAACAAGCGACTAAAACAGTTATTTTAAAGCCACAACACCTACAATGCTGTTTGTATAAGGAACTTTCGAAAGAGCAAATATTTCAAAACGGCAATACGAATGTTCAAGCCGTTTAATTTATGGCGATTGAAAAATAATTAGGCCATAACGTATAGAATCTAAATTATTAACTACTCCCGTTATCTGCATACATTTAAATATATACCTAAATGTAAATAATTAAACTATTTTACGACTTTAATAAAATTAAGTTTTTTTTTTGTCAAATTTATCAACTATTTAAGCAAACAATGTTCCTGCTTAATAACATTAAGTGCGTTATATCGTATAGAATATTAAAATTTAAACATATTTTAAATATTTCTTTTAACAATATTAATAGCTTGAAACAAAATCAATTCCTATCTTTATTCAAAGATGACATATTAGTCGGTTCAGAGGCAGGTTGACTAATAATGGCTTTCTGAGTCCAAAATGTCCGTTTAAAACATATCGTTATCTCTGTTGTCAAAGATGATAGGTATAGCAATACGTTTTTATATAGAGATTTGGATCTCAGAAACCCACGGTTATAAAATCAGTGACAATGATGAAAATGAGCTAAGTTTATTAGAGCGATGAAATATTATCGATGTTTTTTAACTAGTAAGTAGAGACATCGATTATGCCCATTTTATGTGTTACGCCCTAGGGCCTTAGGTCTAGGCCGATAATTTTCCCTAGGACCAATCCGCCTCTGTCAGGTACATTTGTGATAGTTAGTTTTTATTTTGACTTTTGTTTCATCTTTGTCTATGGTCTCATTTTATCATAGATTATATTTGTGTTTAACAAATGTCATAATTTAATTTATCTTCCCCCAAAAAATGAACGTAAATAGGCATATTCGTAAAGTTATTATTTCGTTCAGTTCATTTTAATTTTTATTTATTTGTATATCTTTTTTTAAATGGCTAATAAATAGTTTTAGTGAGAGATAAATATTTTCAGAATAAATATTATAAATCCTTAACAATGATATATTATCATAATTCAACTTAAGAGATAAAATACTTGATTACAAATTCAATTTCCAGTTTTAAACTGTCGTAACACTTTTGTAGGTAGATTGTCTCTGGTTTACAAAAAGATAATGAGATGTCAATATTTTTGTAATACAGAGATCCTATCACGAATATTTGCGATATGAGTTTCCGTAACGTTTATCGACATAAGTCATTTATATCAGATTAGTCATTTTACTTTTCAACCACTTTACAAATTTTATTACAATTTTATCGATGACGTTATGAATACTTTCTCGCATATTTTCGAACTCTATTTAGTAAAATTAACAAAATATGTCAAAATGTATTAGAAACATATCGAAAAGATCATGCATTGACACTAACTGTCAATACTTACATTCACATTATGTCAATACAAGTGTCATGACAGTTGAACCTGACAGTTGAGCTTGACAGTTATATTGGTGATGGTGTTACGACAGTGGAGTACTACTGTTACACTTACATGATACTGTATGTCTGTTTAGCTTCCTGCAACATGTAGTCGACTCTGTCTTCATGTGTAGCCTGGCCGCGAACTGCACGATGCAACTTGCGCCATGACCGAGGCCTCCATTTCACGTTCATGTATTTGTTTATGTGCTGGCGATTGAAATAATTAATAATATCAATAATAAATCTCGAAGAGAATCTCGTGAAAGCTGAAAAGAAAAACTTGTTAAAACACCTATATTTGGCTCAGAATCGTGAGAAGGTTCCTGACCACTGGTTGTTTGAGTCATGGGATTCCGCAGCCGGTGGTGTTCTGTTTTTAATATAATATATTTTGTATATTTTTTTATTTTTTATATTAAATGTAATATAAAATATTAAGAATATGATAAATAAATGTATAAAAAATCAATAATAATATTATAATATAAATCAAGTTTATTTTAGGATAATATTAAGGTAGGATGAGACTGATATTCTGCCACTTCGGTGAAATCATTAAGAGGCAATTAAATATGCTTGATTCGATTTCGATCTTACTAATATTATAAATGCGAAAGTTTGAATGTATGAATGGATGTTTGTTAGAAGATATTTCCAAAACGGCTTAACAGATCTCGCTGCAATTTGGCATAGATGTAAAACATAGTCTGGAGGAACAGATACATTTTTATTAGGGTTCCGTACCTCATCGGAAAAAAACGGAACCCTTATAGCAGTCTTTCGTTTAGTCAGTAAAAGTTTCGTTTAGTAACTCCGTTAATATACATACATATATAGGTCACAATAATTAATTAATTTAATTTGAAGTTATAGTGGTTTTTAAATATGTGAAAATAAGAGGGCGCTAAAAAAATATTTATTCTCAAAGTGGTCAGTACACAAAATAAGTTTGGGAACCACTGTCTTATAGGATCACTTTGTTGTCCGTCCGTCTGTCTGTCTGTCAAGACCCTTTTTTAATTCCGCGTGGATGAAGTCACTGGCGACAGCTAGTTACAAATAAATTAATTGCTTATAAAAAAATACACATTGTTATATCTTGAATCAATAATTAATAATTTGTTGTTATCAGAAACGCAAATACAAGACATATTTTACATACAGACGGTCAGATTTTATGAATATGTGTATATACATACGTGCAATATTTCTCTACCGATGTTGTCGTGCGTGTCGGTGGTGAGCACGTGTCCGGGCGCGCCGCCGCGCAGCCGCAGGTAGTGCGTCTCCCGCACCTCCACCGCGGACACGTCCAGCTGCTCCAGGCACCGCAGTCTGACACAACCCACCAGGTCGTAGTGCCATATCCAGTACCCTGTCAAATAACATATACTACTCAGAATCCTTTCTTTACAATTCCTTTCTTATACAATTGAAACAACGTTTGATATTCACGTCTTTTTTATCGAGTGTAAGAAATAAGTGAAAAGTGAAATTAGATCTTGTTTCAATCGTGTAAAGTTCAATTTTGTTTGTGATATAATTATGCTCTACTTTCCGCCACGATCTGTGTTAACCCTTAAACACTTTGTCTGAAATGTCAGTGGTTTGAATGATGTAGAAGACAATAACTACTTGACATGAAAATATAACAATATGATAAGATTTTAGTACCATTTCAATAGTTATAAAAGAAATAGTTGTAGCATTAAATGTGTTATAATAATAATGTAACATACCGTGTAACACAAGCCGCTGCAGCTGGTTGCATTGCCAGCACAGCAGTACCAATGGGTTCATGTTGAACATTGCGTACTGTAACAAACGTATATTCCTTACTAAGTTAAACTTTGAAATTGTTTATCCGGCTCACGAAGGACCATAGGTAAATTGGAGGGGGGGGGGGTAGCCACGGTACATATTTAATTAATGGTTGTATTATTGTAGTGTTTATTTTACTAGTATTATACATGAGAAAATTTAAAAAGATGGATGGATGTTAAAACGGCTAAAAAGATTTCACTGAAATTCGGCATAAGTGTAGAAAATAACATGAAAAAACACAGGACACTAATAAACCTTTTGTTTTATTTAATCTACACACAAATAATTGCAGCAATTAAAAAAAATCGTCGCTTTCTAAATATTAATATTACCGAGTCATCTCTGAGTTCTGACTTTAATATTTCTCTATCATCGATGGGGTGAAAAGGGCTGTCGACCCATACCAGCTCACGGAGCGACTTCTTGTAGTGAGTAGTCAATTGCTTGATCATGGGGAGATGGAGCTGGAATAAAACGATATTAAATCATAAAATACGCATCAAAAATATTATAATTTTAATATTTGGAGTTTAAAAATTATATCATCATCATCATCATCAGCAGCTCACTATACGTCCCCACCGAGGGGCTTGGAGCCTACCCTAAGCTAAGGGTGATTAGGCCATAGACAACCATGCTGGCCAAGTGCGGGTTGGTTGACTTGAAAAATTATATATAAAGTAAGAATTAATTTAAGAAGATAAGTCTGATAATATGACAACACCATAACTGCACTAAAAGTATTCTTAGCGGGTCGATGGTTCAGGGTTTAAGCAATTATAATCTGCAGGTCCTGGGTTCGAATCCTGTCATGTAACAATGTGATTTTCAAACGTACCAGACATTCTTACGGTGAAGGAAGACATCATAATTCAACCTACATTTGCGAAAAAAAATCAAAGATATGGGTGAAATGAACCCGCACTGGGCCAGCGTGCTTTGACTATGGCCTAATCACCCCCTAACTTAGGGTCGATTCTGAGTCCCTCAGTGTGTAGTGAGCTGATGATGAAAATGAAAATTGAATAGTATCCTTTAGAAATATAGCATCGAATAACTCTGAGTCGCTCAAGGCAATGTACCGCAGAGCTAAAGTAATATTAAAAATCCTGTCCATCACGTGAAAAGATAAGACTAGTCTTAAAAAGTATAATATTAAAAGCACTTACCGTTTTACAAAACATGACCTTTATAGATGTAAGCGGCAATTCTTCTACCAGAACGTTGGTCATTACTTTGTTGAACTTGCTCTCCGGTACACAGATCTGAGGAAAAGAATCGTGTTGAAGAATTTTGATTGGAAACCGGAGTTTACCGGAGTTTAGACGTGAATGTTAGATATTATTAATTATTTTACAACCTTTTTTATTATAAGTGGTGGTTTCGAATGACAATTGTATTGACACATATTGTTATCCCTCTCATTCTCTTTGAAAAACCAAAGACAACATATGTCAATACAACTGTCACGGCTTTGGATTTCTAGGTCATAGACAGTTCAAACAGACCATAGTTGCAAATACAATTGAGCTTTAACTTATTTTGACAAGGTTCAATTTGACTTTGCGGAAAAATCAGCTCTGCTCTATGCAGGTCTGTGTTAACGGTCCCTTATGGTTTTCAAAGACACAGTCGGCTCCGAACATTGTAAGAGTCGTTACGCGAAACACAATTTCAGGCAGGGGGCGTAAAGGGATGCGATGAAACGGCCGATAATCTCACAAACTTACCATATTAATGCAAACATTAAGTCCGTTTGGATATAAATCTTTGAAATCGCTCCAATCCAACGGTTTGCGGTTGAGATTCGTCTTGTTCGTGATATTAATATTAAGGTACTTGAAGTGCTTGAGATGTGACAGACAAGCCACCACCTCTGAACTCAGGCAGTCGTATTCGATCGTTAAATTCTGAAACCCCACAATAATTATATAACACTAGCTGTAACGCGCGATTAAGGAAAAAACTGAGTACCCTATACGTTATTTAAGACTGTAATTTATCACTGTTCCAAATTTTATTCAGATCCATTCATATAAGCGAGGTTAGGATAGGGCCAGATGGGGCAACGGCCCAGGGCGCCGGAGGCGCAGAGTCGGAAATAAAGGGGCGCCTGCGGTGCCCCTGAGATAACTTATTTTTGTAAAATTTGCCCTGACACCAAAATAATTCGGGCGCCGCAAAAATGTCGCCCAGGGCGCTGGAAGTTTTAAAACCCACCCTGTCCATTTAAACGTCGTATTTATAATAATACCAGTAAGAGTGTCATAGAATAGAATAAAATAGCTTCCTCTATCAAAATATGTTTCGTGTGAATGTTTCGAAAGTATGAACTCACTTGAAGCATTGACAAGGCAGATGTAGCACTGTCCAAGTTGACGTCTTTTGCCGGAGTGAAGACGTTATTGAACGTTAAAGCTAACGGGTCGCACTCCTTCTCTAAACACTGTAATATAACAAAAAAAAATCACCTATATCACATTTCTAACCTGTAAATTAAATAGATGATAAATAAATAGATTAACCATTAGTTCCTGATATCAAAATCTCTGTATAAAACATATCGTCATCCCTTTCATTATCTTTCACAAAACAGAGGAGGAATTTGGTCTCAGAAACGTACGGTTAGTAAACGGATAGACGGTCACTATAGGGGAAGCGGATTACTGAGTAACTTACCGTGTGTTCATCTTCTTCAATCGACTCCAACGGACTGAGTGTACAGCCCATGAGCAACAGCGAATCCAAGTTATTGAACGGCAACGATTCTAAAGTTTGTCTGCAAAATTAAATACATTTGTGCATTTACGTCCTACTAAATATTATCAAAGTTGTAGTTTTACTATTCCTTCATATATCACTTCGAATAACTATGTTAAATGATGTCTACTTGACGAGACAGAGGTCTAGACGTAAACCAATGCTAAGCTTGCATGCTGTTTTATGAACAAAGGGTAAATCACAGTATGTCCGAATATTTTTTTATTAACTAAGGTATCCATGCTGTAAAACCTTCCACGGCGTACAAGAATGACACATTTGTCGCCAATTGAGCGAGATAGATAAATAAGTGAGACAGATATATGTTTATTGCTGACAAAATATGTCTATCTCACTCAACGCGGCGCCAGAATATTTTTCTTCCATTTAAATAATTTCCCTTTGTAATTTAGTGCTTGACCACATTCCTACCTGATGTTAGTCGGCGATGTGATCTTAAGATGTTACGCACTAGGTTAGTCTATGCCTATTCATTCTTCTCTTCAGCAGCGTAATCTGACGGACTGACTGACGCCGTTTGATGGTAAACGGCAATGTCTGACCGTGCTATAGCGGAAATTTTTCTTAATTAAATTTTATGAATTCCAATTTAAGGCAGACAATACCTACGTTTGTGGTTACACATGATTTAAACGTAACCTTAAACTTTTAATTGTTGACTAAGGCTGCTTCGTATGAGTTTGCATACATATCTGGGTTACTAGTATGATATTTCTTTGAGTCAGAATGAGTGATGTAAAAAAACACCCACTTCTATCTTCGTTTAAGGATCAAGTGGTACTTTATCGGGGATGTGTGTCGTTTTTTGTTACTTTTGTTTTGTTTTTTTTTTATATCACAAGGTGGCAAACGAGCGAGCGGCCACCTGAAATCGCTGAAATAGCGAAGTGACCGTTGCCCATAGACATACGCAATTGTATATGCGTTGCCCACTTATAATCGACGGAGGAGAGGATGCACAGAAAGAAAATATTTTTCCTTTCCATGCATCCTCTCATCCGCAAAGTCCACTTCCACTTCCCATCCTTTCCTTATAAGAAAAAGGACGGGAAGGGAAAGAGGACTAATTTTGGCCTCCGGGACGCACACTCATCAGACGAAACGCGGAATAGCTTCCACTTCACGCCTGTCTTCTGTGTGGTCGTGGTATTTCACCGGGCGAGCCGGGCCGATTCGTCCGAAGATGTTAAAGCGGGCTCTACCACTGTTAAAATTTTATCAAAAATTTTATCGACAGTTTCAAAGTTTATTGAAAATTGGCAGGACAACTTTTTTATAAGATAAGGGGGCAAAGGTCGAGGTGATCATCGATGCCAATGGACATCCCGTAAGACCTGAGAAACCGCAGATTCGTTGCGGGTCTTTGTGAAGGTGATACACACTCTTCTAACTGTTTAACTGTTGCATATAAGGGTCAGGTGCATTTTTTATAATTACAATATAAAATGAAACGTTCCTACATCAAATGTCGTTATGTTTTTAATAGATTAGTGTATAATTTCATTCATTACTTACCGTTTGAGCATAAATACTGGTGAATAAGATTCCTCTTGTAAATAGATTGGACCGATAAATGTCACTTCTTTTATCATTTTCATTTCGTAAAATCTGTAATGAAAAATTAAAATATTGGAAAAAGATTATTGTTTAATTTGGGTTTTTCGATGGACAATTGTCTTACTAATATTATAAATGCGAAAGGATGGATGTTTGAAACGTGGAAACATCTGGAAGAACAATTAGGCATCTAATTTGATTATTTTTTAATTCCGAGCGGATGGAGTCGCGGGCGACAACTAGTTATGTTAGTTAAAAATTCTGATCGGTCACATAACATAAAAAACCATCTCATTATGTATGTTGCGTATACATTTTTTTGTTTCGCAACTGAATTCCAATAGACTTTCACTAACGAAAATATTCCAAATGAAAATATAGACGTCATCGAATATACAGTTGTGTTGTTTGTTTCTGACATCAACTGACATCTCTGTGTTAAATATATCGTCATCCCTTTCATTATCTTTGACAAAACAGAGATAACAATATGTTTTAAATGGAGATTTCAGTCACAAAAACCCACGATCTGATTTTAATATATACTAATATTATAAAAATGAAATATTTGTTTGTTTGTTTGATTTGAATAGAGTCCATAACTACTGAACCAGTTTAGCTACACTTTTTATTTTCAATTCCGTTTTTACGAAGTCTCGACTAACTACTAGTGATTAGGTACTAAGGATGACCTTTAGTGTAAAGTTTAAATGATATTCAGACAGTTGTAGAATCTGATAAAAGCCAGATAGTTAGATGTCTAAACAAGGGGATCAAAATCACGTTGTAAACATTATGATTCTATGTTAGTTATCTTACTAATATTATAAATACGAAAGTTTAGATGTATGGATGGATGTTTGTTTGAAAGTATCTCGAGAATGGCTGAACTGATATCGATGTAATTTGGCATACATATAGAACATAGTCTGGAAGAACGCATAGACAACTAGTTGAGTTTTTTTTATTCCGCTCGGACGGAGTCCCGGGCAATATCTAGTTAATATTATAACAATAAACATCATGAATCTAGGTCTATATGAAATCGACGTCATTACAAAACTTGAGTTATTGTCACGTTTATACTACGAACTGTAGAATAAAACGTCGATGCAAAATGTATCCAATAGAGTTAGCATTTTGTACAAGGACGAAGCAACGCGAGGCTGACTCGACTTGCTTTATACAGATAAAAAATTTAATACAGGTATAATTTGTTATTTGCCTTTTGCTTATATCAAGTTTTAGATTGTAAAACGAAATGAAAAATCGTTTTGTTTTACGCAACTTTGTAATGGAACAATCATGTTCGATAAAGTTAAAGAATGGTTGTTATTTATATATTATAAAATATAATGAGACCCGTTTTTTACCAGACTGGAATGTCAACGCGACTCCTTCCGCGCGGAATTAAAAAAAAACTTAATCAGTAGCCTATGTGTTCTACCAGACTATGTTCTACATGTATGCGAAATTTCATCGAGATCAGTTCAGCCGTTCTGGATATACCTTCAAACAAACATCCATCAATCCATCTAAACAGTCGCATTTATAATGTGTGTAGCCTAAGCGGCATTCTGGTCTGATTTTTCACCAGAGTGGCACAGGTTCAACAGTTTTTCTTGTGTTTTATTATTAAATTAAATTAGTTTAATTTGTAACTAGCGGTCGCCCGCGATTCTGTCCGTGCGAAATTAAAAAAAACGTAATCAGTAACCTATGTGTTCTACCAGACTGTGTTCTACATCTATGCCAAATTCCATCTAGATCTATGCAGCCGTTCTGGAGATACTTTCGAACAAACATCCATCCGTCCAAACATTCGCATTTATAATAGTAAGATTGATATCAAAAGACAGCATGTAGTACTTACTGGGTGAAAACATTGGACATGAACAGCTGTAGGTCCTCAGAGCTGGAGTCTATGTATATGTAGATCTGTTTCACTTGCTTCCTGAATACGCGAGTTAAGAAACAGCTTCTATCTATATTACTCACGCGCAGTTTGAGGGTATCCCTAAAAAAAAACTTTTGTTCAAACACGTTTAGTGCCATCCACATTGAAAAAACAAGGTGACAAACGTGCTAGGTGTCAATTGATTTGTTTGAACGAAGTAACTCTGCGCATAAAAATCTATTAAGAGTTAGTAAATGCATTGTGTACTTTTAAATGAATGGAGGGTAGTATATAAAGAGGATATATTCTTCTACTTATACGTAAATATACTTCTCCTTTCCAAATTTACTTCATAAGAGAAGGATGGAAAGAAGAGACTAAGAATGTATGTATGACTTTGAATATACCTACTATATTCACTATATACTACCGATGCCATATCAAGAATTTGTTTCATCTATTTATATAAATAGGTAAAAATCCGATTAAGATGCCAACAGCGTAACAGAGTTTGAGATTTGTATCATAAAGAGACCGTGACATTCAAACCTCAACCCACTTACGACCCTTTATGTTTTATTATAAAAGAAAAAAATGATACGACATTTTTATGCAACTAAACAACCTATTGGTTTCTATTAACCCCCAATACTCCCCATAAGAGGTTACGCAAAGAATTTAGCAGGCTTTTAAAATGTAAAGGAGAAATAATGACTCACATGCGTGCCCCAACAATGAGAAGAGCGGAACGCCAGTGCCGGCAGACTGATGACGCTGCCAAAGCATCCTTGGTGCGTAGATATCTCAATACGCATCCTAGCGGCAACAGTGGGAGATTACCCCAATCCATCAACATCTGGAAAGAATAAAGATTTTCTAACTCTCGAGACAGACAGAGACAAACAAATTTTTTTATAATGGGTTTACGTTATAAGCAAAGCAAACCACGTTCGCGACGTGACTTTTTTGCATTATTGTGCAGATAAATGACTAAATTGTACAGATGGATGTGAAATATTAATAAAGAAATCATAAAATTATTACCGTATTAACAGGGTCAAATATCAAGCGTCTTTTGTTTCAGAAATATCTATATACAACTATCTTCTGTTTGCGACTCTGTCCGCGTGTATTAAAAAAAGCTTATTTAGTAGCCTATTGGTTCTTCCTGATTATTTTCTACATTTATGAAAATTTTCACTGAGATCCGTTAAGCTGTTATGGAGATACCTTCTAACAATCATCAATCTATCAATCTCAACGTAAGATTAATAAAATTGAGGTGGTACAGCCACCTCAATTTTATTAATATTAATTTAAGTAATATTAAACAGTCACATTTCATGAACGTGATGAATGCTTATAACGAAAAGCCAATTTTTAACATTTTTGTCCGTCTGTTTTTCTGATTGTCCTTAAATTGTGTGGGCATAATTATAGGCACTTTTTTTCCGGCGCTGACGAAGTTGTGGGCAACCGCTAGTTTTATAAATATTTCGATTTTTTAATTCAATCGTTTAATTTGAAAAGTCATGTAAAATGTTTAAGAATAAACCAATAGATTAGTTATTCGTAATGTTATAAATCTATTACGAAGTATTTTGTTTTATATTCTAAAAACACAACATTATGCATAGTTAGTGTTTTTTATATAAATAATAAACTTATAAAATAATTTTATGTATTTAAGCAATGACCCTTCGTCGTGGCCATTATCTCTCGCACTACTTACTCACGCTTGTTATGAACCCATTTCTAAAGAATACTTTTGCTTTTAGTAAACAAGATTGAGCTAATTCTGTACGTTCAGACCCTCAGAGCAGATCTATAATGCAATAAGAAATATATGAGAAATAAACGCCTTTATTTTGTTGGAATGTTTCATCACATAAAAATCTCATTTCTTTTTATCACTTTTTAACCGCAAAAAAAAATATATTTGTACCATAGACAATGAAACGAGAAAATACAAAGACTTCATCGAGATTATTTCTATTTAATTAGTGCTTATTATGTTATTTACTACTTCTATTATGCTAACACAGTAAATGCGCTTTTTTTTACCTACATAAACTCAACAACTTATTACGCACCTTTGAGACATGATTAGAAAAACTTTTTTATCTATGCCCAAACGCGCTTCGGCGTCTCTGTCATATTTGACAGATTGGTATTTTAGGTTATAGAGTATTAGACATTTCCGTGTTATTAAAATAAAATCTATAAGTAAGAAACTTAATCAGCCTAAGCCTACTCGTCCACTACTGAATGTATGCCTCACCAAATGATCGGTTCCTTCCCCCCCAACACTAAAGTTGGTTATGAAACTGTTATATTAGTATGTAGTTTGTACTTACGAAAGTGTATTTATTGTTTTTTTATACCCAAAGTAACATATCATGTTGTATGGAGTGCAAGCGGCTAATACTACAGTTTGTCGGAAGGCGTATGGAGGGCAATACAGGAATTACAAAACTTAATTCATCCTTTTTCTTATCAATCTTTTTAATAGGTGTTTATGATCATCTGACATCATGTGATCAGATTTCTCAAATCATATAAAACGATTTTATTTAACAAGCAGGAAGTAATAAACTTGAATCATGTTTGAACAAACAACAAACACACAGGACTATCCATATTTCTGACTGGATCATAGTCAACTTTGCTGTCCCAGAGCAGATTGATTGACTTCAAACACAAAGTTGGATATCACAACACATCTACAGTAAATAAATTTAAGTGCAGACCACTATTCTAGGGCAGTGATAGCAAACCTTTACATATGAATGTGCCATTATAGTAAAGAAATGTTTAATGAGGCCATAGACAAATCCGACTTTATAGTTATTGAGAACAATCTTTAGTGTAGGGCTCACTTGGGTTTACTTCACCTGTTAGTTCACACTTTTTTATTGTGCATAGTAAATTCAGAAATCAGCAAATTGTCCTCAATAATGGCACTTGCCATTAGTTTGCCATCCCTGTTCTAGCAAATAAAGGTGCAAGTGAATAAAAATACACAATTACACAATGAAATCCTTATATTTATGGAAATTAATATAACATATAAGCAACTAAATATCAAATACATTTTCAAACTTATATTGAGATGTCAAATTAAACATTAAATATATCAATAACATAGCCAACAAAATGAAATATAAATGTGCTGATTGGAATTTCATACAGAAACAAACCTCAACTGTTTTATAGAGAAAGAACACAATAGTAATTTAACGGAAAGCATAGAATTACATACATCAGCCTTAATATATACAGTTAAAACCGCTTACAACAACAAGGAAGAATAAGGGAAGAAGTAATCTGTTATATTCGATTTTAATAACTGATAAGCAGTTAAACAAGTTTAGGTGATTGGTCCGCGCAATGTTTTTGTCTTTTAACCGATGTAGTTATAAGCAGTTTCTACTGCAGAGCTCAAACTAAACAAACAAGTAGCAAGAGTACTTTTACTTGTAATAAACTATGATGAACATTTACTGCTTGATGAATTTTACTGAATACTTTTAAATACAACTGAGTACAAGGAGCTTTAGCTTTTAGGTTTTCATTGTGATATAAAATCTTAATTTTAATAACATTTACTTTAAGATTTAATTTCCTTAATACACCTACCAATTAAAAGAATATATAAAAATAACTTAAGTCACCTAAACTTATATGTCAGAATATGTATCATTATTCTAATCAAGTTTCATATGTTCTTATTTTACATTCTTAAGAAATATTACCATTTTGGTAAATATGAAGGGATTATAGAAATGTAAAAGCACAACATATTTCTCCAAAATGTATCAAACATGATATTTTGGGTTAAATTCAATTTCCTTTCAATTACTTTAGGTAACTACGGTACAGTAATAGTGACCGTGCAGTGTCTTTTTCTTGTTCCAAAAGGAAGAGCATGTCGCGAAGGTTGATACGTTTTATACGAGTGCGCAGAGCCATCTGTCCGCGACCAGTCATGCCACTTGAAGTTTGATTACTGTTGGTCGAAGCATTATCGCCTGATCCACCAACACCTTCATTAAGTCGCGGTTTCTTACGCGGTCCGATAGCCTGAAGAGCTGTCAGATTTGCTTCTCGTTGGCGTACCTCTTCTAATTCTGCGCGTTGCATTTCTTTAGCTTTAGCCTTAAGTTTCGCCTGCTCAGGATCCTCATTCTTTGACCGAGACTTTGCAGCGCGAAGTAACATCTCACGTTCAGTATCTTCGCATCTCTTCTTTACGACACGATCTCTCTCTTCGAGGAATTTAATCTGACTTTTCACATCTTGAGAAACCTCATATCGATTATCCATCTTAACACATAAATCGATTCGATGTTGTGCAATAACTGCTAACTTTTCTACAATAGTCTTGAGCCTCTCATGGAGAGCATGACACAAAAGCGCCGATACTTCAGGAGATGGTTCCTCTAATCCATGCTTGGCACAAGTTGCTTTTACTCTAGCTTGCATCAAATGCATTGGGACCAAGAATTCATCTTTACATGACCTTATCTGTGTTCCAATCATTTCAGTAGATCCAAGAATTCTTTGGCTTTCCTCAGCCAAATTCACTCCACCCATGGCAGCAACATCATTTATATCATCATCCCCTGCCATCTTGTCATCAACAAAGTGAGGTGGAGTAAAGGGCATGGAGGACCTTTTTTCTTTTTCTTTCAAAAGGGATTGTCCAGGTGTAATAACAGTGGACAGTGCAGCAGAGGACAATCCAGGGCGCGGGAAATTGGCTTTATTATTTACTCCTACAGTCTTCCCAACTTTGCCTACATTTATTTTAGTGTGTACAGGTATGTTTTGAAGCACTGCAATTGTACCACCCACTTTTGGAGCAGGTTTTTGCATTTGAATATTGGAAGTACTTACAACTTGTTGTGTTGGGGCCGGAATATTAGAAAATGCGACATGAGGTGCAGGAGGATTAATACCTTCAATGACCAATTCTTTGGTAACTAATGACTGCCTAAGCAATGGTAAGCTTTTTTTCAAGAATCCAATCAAGCAAGGTTGAGGACTTGCATTCAGCAAACGTTCAAGTCTGTTACAGAACTCTTCAGGCTCAACTTGAGCATCTATTAGTTCCTGGATGAGATTTCTCACATTTGTTTCAACGGATTTGGGTTCCTTGCTAGATAGGTCAAGTAGATTCGCAAGGAAGTTACGGCACTTTTCCTTGGTATTATCTGAGGGCTTTTGAGTGGTGACAGTCGGTGGCTGTGATGGTGGAGTAGCAGACTGCATACTCGCAGACACTGACACAGGTGCTGGTCCTGCCTGCTGTATTTGTGTAGGCATTTGGGTTGGTGCTGCAATGCTAGTGGATACTGTAGCCACACCAGGGTGTGCAGGTACTGTGGACAGACGCAAAGTCTGCGGTTGCGGTGCAGCAAGGGTATTGCCTGCAGGAGCGGGGCCAACTCTTAACAGTTGATATTGCCCAGTATCAGTCTTCAACAATAAATGACCCTGCTGTCCTTGTTGTAAGCTTTGTAATGTTTGCAATGTAATACCTGGCGCTACTGCTCTTGCACCAACTACCTGTTGTGTGCCAATCACAACTCGTGGTGATACTGTAGCTACAGACTTCTGTGCCGCAACTGAAGGCGCTTCAGGTCTCATGTTTAATATTTGCACATTAGGCAATATGGTGGGTTGGCCTGAACCCAAGTTTTGTGTGGTGACAACAACATTCTGCCCAGGTTTGTTCATTGTTAAAGCATTAGGGATAGTATTGGACATGCTTGAACTGACAGTTATGGGGACTGTGACCATTCCAGGTTGCATGCCAGATTGTCCAGTAGATGTCCCCTGTTTAATTACTAATGAGGGGTTCATGATAATTATTTACACTTGAGATTTAAACTAGGTGAATTCTTCTGTATATAGTCAAGATTTATTCTAAATTGACATACCACTTGTACTTTACAAATTAACCAATATGCTATTAGTTTGGTGCTTTAAATTCATATCATAAGTCATTTTCAATTTTATTATTCTGTCACCATGCATCTTGCTTTTTTCAACTCCATAATTAGATTTTGAACTGGAATCAATGTGAAGATGACTATGAATATACTATTTCTTTAATATATTATTCTCAGTGAAGAAACTGGAGACAACCAACAATTTATTATACATTTAAGAATAACCTAATAATGATATTGCAGATTTTTTTTTATTCAAAATAAATGTGAATTACATACACTAGAAATGTTATGTAAAGTCTACAAAAATTTAATTTTCAATCATCATCTGTGGAATATGTTCATCACCTCATAAATATGTATTGTATGGAAAGTTTCAGCTTGACAAAATGTTTGTTGCTGATTCTCATGAATAAAATTGTCAACATTTAATAATATTCCATTGTCAATAACATAAAATGTATAATATTATCTTGATAAAAAAAGTTATAATACATAACATTAACCGTTTTACGTACTTGCTTTTCCTTGTATGTACTAAAGCTAAAGTCTAGTGTTTTATGCAAAAGGCGTGACGACGTAACAGCTGTTTGTAAGTAGGCTAAAATAAAGATGCTTCGAACTGCGTCATTTACTATCTACCACTCTTGGTGGCGTTAATAACGTATTACATAATAAAATTAACGCACTATTCTATCCGCATAAACTTAACGAAGAGATGTACTCAAAAAACAAGTGTATAAATTGTAGTCGTAATGCATAATAAGCACAATCACAAAGAAAGGTCACCAAAATGGTTTAGGTGTACTTACCACTTCAATGTTGCTTGTCAAATAATAAATATTAAATTTTGTTTAGTATTTTTCTTCTTTATAAATGCGAACACTGATTTTTATAATAAAGAGAAAGTCGCAAGATATTTTACACGTCCAGTCTCACTCACATTATCGCACAAATTAACGAATTACAAAACGAAAGGAATAAACTTGAATCGATGACGGAACGGAACGGAGCGGATGAGCGGATGCAATTTCAATAGGAAATACAGATTCAAAATAATGGTACTAGGAAAAAAAATTAAATTAGGTCTTGCTAATCATAATAAATATAATCCACTACAAATATATATGTGCGAATTTAAAAATGAATTAGCTTTTTCATCAGAAAACCTATATAATAAATTCGAAAAACCATTGAGTGTCGGTTTAAAAAAAATGCTGTTGTCAACAATTTTATAAAATTATTGTTCATTATTTTATCTGATCTCATTCCAAGTACAATGTAATGTATATTTAATGATGCGATACAATTTTTTTTACTAATTTTAATATTCTTATTATGAGAGCATTATAAACAATTTTCTCGTACCAAGAAGGAAAACGGCGAGCACGCCCTAGTCAGAGAGGTATCGGTACTACTCCATCCCTATTTGTAATGGCGGCCAAAAATCAATTTTGAAATGTGACAGCGGGTGATTGTGATTGTTTGTCTCCAAAAGTTTCAATAAAATTAGGGAAAATATTTTTATGAATTGTAATTAAAAGTAGTAATGGTAAAAGTTTAAAAATTATTAATTAATTGAGAGTGTGCGTCTATTTTAATTGTGTAATCTGCGTTAGAACTATTGTGATCGATGATGTAAGATACAGTACTCAGACTTGAGAAACGAGAGAACGTTTGCCGTGATCGTATTAAGATTGAAGACACAATGGAAACCGAAGAAGGAACAGGAAACCATGAAAAGGAAGAGCAGGAGAGTAGCTCCCATACTACACCGCAAGAACACCGGTCGTTTGCTGAATTTGCGAAGGATAAATTAGATAGCGGTAAGTATTATTTGTTTCTATGTATCTTTTAAGTTAAAATGCTTAATTTCAAAAATACATTTATATTTTTAATTGTAACTAATTTTATTATTATTTGTAAATACCTACTTAAAACTATTCGGCATATAGTGCCATGAGTAATGTGACCTTCAAACTATTACGTTCTTATTAGAAAAATATTTGGGAGAATTGGAACTGTTCAACTTAGAACAGTTATGTATTTTTTTTATATATATTTTTATAACGTAATTTTATCAATCTTAAATTTTCATATTCCAAATGCGTTCAATGTAACGTGTGTATGTAATAAGTAAACTTGTAATCATTGATAAAGTTGGTCAACCCTCGTACAGTACTGAACATTTCTGTTGTTGAATATAAGTAAGTTTTAATTAGAGTATTCTTTAACAGCTGGCAGAGAGTTGCGGCGTCGTCTACCAATGGCGGGTCAGCTGGGTGCACACTTGATGCATCCAAGACGACTCCTGCTGCACACAACTCCCACTCATCACACAGATGTTGTGCTGATATTCCCTAAAGGTAGGACATATATTAATTCTGACCTCATGTTATCTATGTGGTTCCACTATCAGAACATATCTACAAAAATATTTAGTTGAATATTATTGTTGGACAGTTTTATTTCAAACTTGATTGAGTTGAGTCAAAACTAGTAGTTTAAATCACACCCACTTTCTGTAGATTGATTGATCTGAAATTTGATACACATAATTAATTTTGATGACAATACAATATTATGTGAAAAAAAACTAATTGTTTTTTTTAAATAATTTATTTAAAAGAACCTTGCATTTTTATTTTCCTTTTGGATACAACAGTATATCGCAGTTTAAACAACTGCCTCTCTTTATTAGCAAAATACAAACATTGCTGTTTATAATTGGCATTGAATCTATCTGACCTCTGATTTGATATAGCAACATGTACTTATCATGTTATGATTTAGCAAGGCATTGCATCACCTCTATAGATTCTGTACGCCTATATCACTAAGCAACTATTTATTTATGATATCTTTCACATATCATGGAGCATTGGTGGCTCAGGGATAAAGCACTTGACTTGCAATCTGCAGGTTCTGGGTTAGAATCCCGCCATGTAATCACGAAATACAAAGATAGTGTGAAGTTAACCAACCTGCACTGGGACACTGTTGTTGACTATGGTCTCATCACTTTTAATTTAGGGTAGGATCCAAGCCTCTCGGTGCGGATGTATAGTGAACTAATTATGGTGATTTCCACACAAGATCAATTATTTTGCAAAATATTTATTTGTACTTAAAACTCTAAGCAAATCTTTTCCTCATAAGGTTTGCAATTAAATGTAAAAGTAAGGGTTCACCAAAAATAAAATAATATTATAAATAATACCTTATGTAATTTACTTAGAGAATAACTAAGGAAATAAACTCAATTCAATAAGCAAGTAGAAAATGGTGCCTGACAGTTCATGGTACATGATTTGACCTTGTTAGTATTTAAATATTGCTACACTACACAAAGGAGAATAGTTAACAAAAATACTGGCTGTTTCACCCGACATCGGTTAACAGTTTGAAACAGATTTTAACCCCTTTTTAGGGTTCCGTACCTCATAGAAAAAAAACGGAACCCTTATAGGATCACTTTGTTGTCCGTCCGTCTGTCCACACCCTTTTTTAGACATTTACAGTACAATAAAAGCGTGATACAGATAATTGATAATTTTTGCTAGAAAGTGTTTTGTAAATTTTCAAGTTATTCGGTTGAAGAAGTAATGTTTGCTTTCGGCAAACTATTACCCTCTTAAACCTTTAGATGATGAATTTGTGAAATTGTGTCTTAGGGTTCGCCTAGTGTTAACAGAAACCTCTAGAGTTTCGGGTGTGAGTTATTATTTGTTTCTGAGACCAATGTAACATAATGTTATCTCTGTTTTGTACAAGATAATGTAAGGATTGTCAATATTTTTTATACAGAGATTTCGGTCTCAGAAACCCATGACACGTCAGTCAGTTTATCTTGAATAACAAAATATACATAGAAGTTAATCATACAGCCCCTTTGTATATGACAATATTTCATATACCCTTATGTTTTCGGCTTTGCTACAGTCATTTGGCAAACGTCTATTGTGTAGGAAGGTCATTGAACCCTGCCGTTTACAGAGGCTACTTCGGCATTCGGGAAACTTGCCAACAAATAATGCCAAAACTTAGACGTATTTATTACTAAGTCGGGTATGTTTTGCGAGAGAAACATGGAACGGCTTTCATATTTTTTGTTTTCCGCTTTTGCTAATTTTAACGTTATAGTACATTATTTAAAAACTCTACGGATAAAATGACAAGGATCTCGGACTAAACATTGATTTTTTTTAATGTACCCTCCATTGAATACGTAAAAGTATTAAGTGCGTGTTGCTCCAATTTTATCTACAGTAAAATTACTTGACGTCAACCCTCGGCGTCTCGACGCCATCAATCTTTTTGCTTTGTAATTGGAGTTATTTATACTGTTTTCATATAAATTGCCAGTGATTTTTGTGTGGGATTGTAGACATTCTTTTTTTTTCACAAAGAATAGAAAGGAATCTTCATTCGAAAGCTATGTTTTGTCACCAAGGGATAGTTTTTGTTATCTCAAAGATGAATTTTGCTTGTAGAATTTGCTTATTTTTAATTTACACTTTTAGATGAACGTAACAAACTAACAAATCTATTGTGTGCTAGTATTAATTACGAACTATTTGTACTAGGTTAACATGACTTGTTAGAGATTCTTTGTCGTGTACTAGGTCTTCCGGATAGTATGCTGCTCTGGTTGCTGCAGAAACTGCGTAGTAGTCGACCACGTCTCCAGGTGTGCGTGAGACAGCACGCCTCCGCGCAGTGTTCAGCGTTTTACATCGCAGCTGATGATGATGTGTAAGCCTAGCTTATTGCCGAATTTAGTATCATTAAATAGTTCACATTTAGTTTAGATTTAGTATAAAGTATTTACTGAAAATAAGTAAGTGACATGCCACTTCAGTGGATTCAACAAGATTATAACCATTACCCCATTGTAAAAAAAAATACAGACGAATTTATAACCTCCTTCTTTTTAAAGGCTAAAAACAACTAATGTAATGAAACTAAGATTTTATCATTTCAATGGATTCTTTGACTTTTTTTTTGACTTTATAGTTTAATTTGCTATTATTTGTAACAGATTGCTTCAAACTGCGGAAGAGGTTCATCTGCCAAAGTTATTGAAGCCGGAATTCGGTGGTGGATATAAAGAGTTTACAGTTCGTGATATGCATTGCTTCCAAAATGTAAGTTTATTATACGGATCCTTTATAACATTATTAGTTCTTACCCGCGATTCTGTCTGCGTGGAATTAAAAACACAAATTACTAGCCTGTGTTCTTTCAGACTGTTTTACATCTATGCTAAATTTAAGCAAGGTCAGTTGAGCTGTTCTGGTACCTTTTAACAAACATGCTTCTATCCATCTAAACTTTCGCATTTATAATGTTAGTAGATTTTTAGTTTAGAAAATTCATAACCTCTGCCTACATTTCTGAGTTGAATTGAATGGAAGGGAGTGTTCTTATTTGTTTTCGTACTGTTCTCATCTTTTTTTTTTTAAATTAGCAAGAAAAAACTTGTCCATTGTATAAAAAGGTTTTATTAATATGTATTTCAAATAACAATAGCCGCCTCCTTTGTTTTGCGAGTTTCTCGTTGAATGTTTCCATTGTTTTATGTTTTCAAATTAACTATGAATATATATCCAATTAGCAAGAACATACTTTACGTATGAGTTACCAAAGATATATTAATATAAACACTTTTATATATAACTAGATGTAACCGGCGACTTTTTTATCCTCTAGACAATGGTCTAAGTCAATGACAAATTTCAGCTAGATCAATACAGCTGTTCTGGAGTATACTTTGTAAAAAACACATCCATCAATCTAAATTTTCGCATTTATAATATTACTAGCTTTTTTGCCTGTGGCTCCGTGCGCGGAATTAACAAAAAGTTAAAGTAGCCTATGTGCTCTTCCAGGCTATGTTCTACATATATGCCAAATTTCAGAGCGATCTGTTGAGATGTTCTGGAGGTATTTAGTAATAAACATCCATCCATCCATCCAAATATTCTTATTTATAATAATATAGTAAGAAGTATGACACTA